CGGCTCCCCGCGCCGGCCTCCCCTCCTCCCTCTCTAGCCGACTCCCCCTCCCCCGAATCCCTCCCCCCTCCTCCTCTCCCCTCCTCCCTAGCTCTCCCTCTCAGTCCCCAGCTCATCCCTCTCTCTCTCTCCCTCTCTCTCTCCCTCTGTCGGGCGGAGTCGCCCACCACTGCCAATACAGTGCTGAGGGAACCTGCTCTAGGCTGTAGCTGCAGGTAAGAGACCCCCAGTTAGCGGGGGCTTGGGGGAAGGATGGTGTTACCCCAGGTGGATGGAGGGGGACATTTGAGGAGCCCGGAGCCGCTTCTCCCTGAGCTCCGTTATAGGGGATGGGGGGCTGCATATACCGGGGCGCGGGTACCAGGGCCCTAACGTGCGGTAGGGGCGCCACCAGCAGTCAACGTCCTCAACCCCTCCTGCGCTTCAGGGAGCATGGCGGGCTGGGGAGGGGGTGCCTCCTGGGCACTGAGGGGGTGAGAACACCCCACCCTGTCTGGGGCAGCACCCACACTCCCGTTCTCCGCCTCCACCTCCGCCCCCGCTTTCCTGTGTCTGGGTCTCGTATTTCTGTGTCTCCACATCTCTCAGGGGTCTCTGTCCTGCGGAGTCTGGACGCCTCTCCGAGTCCCTTTCCCTGTCTCCCTCAGTCTCACTCTTGTCTGTCTCTCTCTGTGTCTGGGTCTGTTCCGGCTTTCTGTCTCTAAGTCCTTGGCTCCTCTCTGCGTTCCTCTTTCGCCACCTCTGTGTGTTCCCCTCTGTCTCTGTCTCTACTGTCTCAGCTTTCCCATGTCTCTGTCTCTGTCCATCTCCGCGTGTATCTTCCTCAGTCTTCCCTGCTTCTCATCTCCATCTCCGTCTCTAGGACCTGGTCTCTGTTTCTCTCTCTCTCTCTCTCTCCTCTCCGCTTGCTCTCCCTGGTTAACTGCCTCCTACACACCTTTGTCTCCGCCCCTGGCAAGGGGAGACCTGGGGGAGGAAGACCCGCCCCGCCCCCTGCCGCCGCCGCAGAGTGGGCTCCCCCAGGAGGCACGGAGTCCCCCAGACTGCTCTCCCTTCCTCCGCCGGGCTCCCCCCGCCCGCCCGGCTGGCATCCGCCCGTCCCTCCTCTGAGGACAGAGCTCCTCTGCTCTCCCCTGCCTTATTTCTGGCATCCTGAGGCCAGTCCTTCTTGCAGTCTAACCTGTACCCTTTGTAGAGGAGACTGAACCAGGCCTGTCTGCAATCTAACCCCCCACCCCTCTTCACACTGAGCGGACCAGTCTCTGCTGCAGTCTAACTTCCATACCTCTTTTGCCGTTTGTCCGTTTCTTGACTCATTCATTCTTTTGACAATTACTGAGCACCTTTCCTGCTCCAGGCACAGCTCTAGGTACTGGGCCAGGCCAGTCCTTCTTGCAGTCTCGCCTCCATCGTCTCATGGTGTGCCAGCCCCAGACCTGTCTCCCAGTCGGGCTGGAGCTCAAAAGCTTCTCCACCGCACCTTGGGGGCTCTGAGAGGGCCCTTCTGAGTCTAGAGCTCCCTGGCCGATACAGCCTCTTCTTTTCTGTTGGGAAGGGGGCCCCAGAGAAGGTGGCCGAGATGAGGGGTGTGGGGCTGAGTCTGTAGCCCACGCTGTGATGGGGTGAGGTCCTCGAGTGCCCACGTGGGATTCCAGGTGGGTTAAAACAAGCACCAGCTTAGGAGTCCCACACCTTGAGTTCCATCTCTTCTCTGCCCCTGACTTGAAGATGCATGACTTGGCCAAGCTGTTTGCCCCTCCAGACCTCAGTTTACCCACCGGCGTACCATAGCCTGAACACTGAGACTGTGTGTGTCTGTGTGTGATCACCAGGCTGGGACATTGTGTGCAGGCGGGAGAGCCTGGCTTACCCTGGAGCAGTAAGCGTGCGTGTTTAGAAGGCCGTGTCCCCACCGAGAGCAGGCAGCGGGCACCCCCTGCGCCCAGGCTGAGCGCAGTCAGGAACCATCACCCCCCCTTACCGATATGAGAGACTTGAAGGAGGGGGTCCCACCTGGACTGCCAGACTGACTGCCCCACCCCGCTCAAGCTTGCAGTCCCACCCTACAGATGAGGTTTCTGAGGCCCCGAGAGGTGGGTGAGGCAGAACCGGGACACTCACCACTGACCCAGCTGGCCACCGGCCCACGAGGGAGGGGAGAGATGGCCCCAGGAGACGGTGCCCGCCATCTGCCCTCCAGAGCCCCACCCTGGCCTCCACCTGATGCTTTCGCCCTTGGATTCTAAACCCAGATTAGGTTTCAGGGCTGCTCATGGAGCGAGAGAGGCAGAGGCAGGAGCCTCAAGAGGGAACCCAGCTGTCCCCAGTGACAGGGCTCAGACCTCGTGGTGGTTCCTTTAACAGATATTTATCTAGTGCTTTCTCTCCCTGACCCCCTTCTTCCCTAAGGCCCCAGGGAGAGGAAACCAGGTTTTGCAGGAAAAGGCATTGAACCAGGCTTGAGGACGGAGGCGGGAGGGACAGGTGGTTGGACTTGAGGGAGGACTTCCCAGGCCATGACCCTTCCCTGAGAGAGGGAGTGAGATGCTATAGATGAATTCTTGACTCCCAGGTCGACCTGGTTTCTCCTGAAAGCTCGGGGGGGGGGGGGGGGGCGCTGGCTGCGGAGTGCGGGGCGGGATTGCCACGCACAGGAGCCCTGCGGGTCACGGGCAGACCTGTGCCGGCCTGGCTGGAGCGCCGCTCACTCCCAGGGCGGCTCCCGTACTGCCTGGGCAGGGGCCTCGTGTGGCCATTCAGCCTCTGTGTGGCCAGGGGTGTGGCCGTCCTTCTGGCTCTTGGGCTGGCATGGAGCAGGGAAATGTGTCTGTCGGCCCCAGCTCAAGGCGATCCATCCCCTAAAGCAGAGACGGGCAGCAGAGCAGCCTGGGCAGCCAGCCTGGGGCCCACGGGGCAGGAGGCGGCCGTACTCATCCTCTGAGTGGATCGTGTGCCTGCTCCAGCTAGCAGACCAGTGTAGGAGG